GATTGCTGGCAAATGCACATGAGCTTCTAACAGTTTAACACTGATCTCTCCTAAACACTTTAGGAGAAGGCAATATATATGTTTATGCATAGCATATCACCTTATCCTAAAAAGTTCTTTTTAAAAAAGCTTTCCAATCCAATCATTTTCCCTGTACTCTGTAGAAGTTTTCCATTCAGATCCTAATCAATTTCAATCCTATTTAAGCTTCTAATGCCTAGACAAAGTTTTGTCTGGGGGTGAAAATACCAAGTTAGAAAACAGGAAACTTTGAGTTCTAGACCTGCCTTAGGTAAGAAAGCTGTGGCTGGGTGACTTACTCTCTCAGCTGAACCCACTTCAAAAATGGACAAAATCAGAGAAGGAACAAATATCTGTATGTTCACTTTGAGTTGTTTATAAAAATAGTAATGCAGAATTCAATAAATAAAGGATGAGACTCAAAGGTCAAAAGCTAAGCTTTGTGTTATGCTAATATGAGGCATTCATGAACAGTTGTTTCTTTTCCGTCCAATGCACAGACCCATTAATAGCTCAATTAAGTGTCTCAATTTATCCAGGTATGAGCCAGAAAGAGGCAGTCTTCCAGTCAATCATCTTTGTTTATTGATTAATGTATGATTGGTAGGCAGGGAAAGGAATAGCTCTCTGACCCAAATTAAACAGGCAGATCAACTCACCCCACATGGCAACAACCTTTCATCCAACTGGCTAAGGTTGAAAGATGTGTCTCCATGTTGCATTCAGGATCCAAGGTAATCAAGATGCTTTAAGTCAAGGGTCTTCAAACTTGGCAAGTTTAAGACTTGTGGACTTCAACTCCCAGAATTCCTGAACTAACATGACTGGGGGAGGAATTCTGGGAGTTGAAGTCCACAAGTCTTAAAGCTATCAAGTTTGAAGACCCCTGCTTTAAGTTATTCCCTATCCAAAGCCAGACCAGTAGCCTCAACAGCAGGGGCACGTATGGCCCAATGATGACTTCGGGATGAGAACCTAATGGAAAACAATTGTCAAAAGTGATTAGCTGTATAATGTTTCAAAGAAGAGTCCTGAGAATAAACACCTATCTTGTTTTTAGTCACTAAAGCCAGGTTTGGCTTGTAAAAATGAATAAGTAAACCAACCTGGACCTGTTTCCAAGGATACATCTATTTTGGTATACTGATTTGTGAACAGCAATGCCACCTCCATATCCTATGCCATAACTTGGAAAAAATAGTTTTGTGATCAGATCGTCCCTCAATTTACCAGCAGTCTAATTTTCAGCCACATATTGGCTGCTGTAGGATGTTCTCATCATTGCTTCTTGGTTGCTAAGACTCTGTAGAGGCAGTGGGTCTGGGAGCTACCACCTGTTGTTAATCTAGCCTTGTTTAATCCATTCTGCTCTGTGTCAGCAGTTCAAAAGGGCACTGTTAGTATTTTTTGCCAACTTCAATTAACATGAGCTTTTGGAGGCCCCCCTCTGATCGCATTTCATTTGCCATGAGTCAGGCACAAAATAGACAGATTTCAGTTCAGAGCAGAAAAGAGACAGTTTATTGCAACTAGGAATGACAACAATAATAATATTTATGTGTCTCTCCTCTGTCTGCGCTCTAGATGTTTGTTCATTCTTCACCAGCAATTTTTCTCTGTTTTAATTTTTGTTTGCAGCACTACTAAAAAAAAATATCACACTAACACCCTCAGCTGCAGGATGGGAAAAGATGATACATGCAATGATTTATTTTCCCCAAAAATTAAAGTAAAAAAAAAGAGCAAGCAAGAAAGACAAGGTACAAAGCAATGTTCTTTTTTTTTTTTAATATTACAATGTAATGAATTTGCAGTACATATCTGTATAGGCAATAAAATTGTATGGCACAACCTCACACTGCAATTTTGTAGGCTTTCCTCTCAATCCATTGCTTTACTTGTCAACATTTTTGAACGTATATTTTCATATATTCTGCCTCAGGCCATAAAGCTAAAGGGGAAAGAAAGTTGCACTTATACAAGGTTACAATATTTTACAACAATGCAATTGACTGAGGTTGTTTTCTTATGGTTTTTCCTCTCTCCCATTCTCCTTTTCAGTCACCGCACACCCCAAAACAGATATATTATTACACATTGAAAACTGCCCTTCAAGATCAGTAGTACAAAGGTCCTAGCACTATCTATTTATGCAGAAGGAGGACTGGATAGTAGATCACCCACAATTTGTTAATAAGAGTTGGGGCAGAATAAAAAGTCACCTTGACTTCCCTGAAATGCCGGCCATGAAGCTGAAAGCAGTGAAAAAGCTTTCATCTAGGTTTCCGTTTCGGCTGATTTTTTTTATTTTTATAAAACCCTCCAAATGTTTGTTTTTTTCCTGTGTCAGTCAAAGCAGCAAAATAAACAAAGTTCTCAGCAGCTGTGTCTTGTTGATTATTTTTTCAAACCGCTTTCCAGGAAACTACCTTTTTTCACTGTTGTTTGTTTTCAAAATGCTTTGCAATTTTGCAAACCTTGGGGTATGATTTGAGACAAGGCCAAACTATTAAATGAGTGAAGGGGGGAAAAAAGAGAGAGATACAAGAATGCCCTGTAAAAAATAAAAAGGAAAAAAGAAACCCTAACCCCTTCATTTAGCCCAAGGGTGTCCAAGGGTGTCCAACCTTGGCCACTTTTGTGGATTTCAACTCCTAGAATTCCCCAGCTGACTAGGCCATGCCAGCTGGAGAACCAGAGATGGGCTGCACATACTGTAACAATTGGTTCGCTTAGTGCAGAACCGAAAATGTGAGTGCACGCACGCACGCCCCCTTCGCGCAGCTGCAAAAACATGGGGGATTCCCCACGCTTCGCGCAGCAGGTGAGTAGAGAAGGCGAGGTGCGGAAAGCAGCTGGGCTACGTGGCTGGGGCGAGTGAGCAAAAACATTGAGATATATAGGACAGGATAACGCGGGGGCAGGTGGGCGGGCCCAGCTGCTAGTTGTACATACCGGTACTGGCGAGCCGGTTCAAACTGGCAACAACCCATAGCAACTGTGGACAATTCTGGAAGTTGGAGTCCACATGTCTTACAGTTGGCAAGGTTGAACACCGCTGATTTAAACTATGCTGCATTGCCTTTACCAGCAATTTATTTACCAGTGGAATAGAAGGTAAGATAGGCCCACCTTTTCTCATCCCCCCCCCCCAAGGAAATTTGTTATTGACTGCTCCCTCTACTCAACCTCCTGGCCTATAGTTTGACAATTGAAAACCAGCTGCTACTGTTGGGCATTCAGAAAGCCTCTGGTGCTCACAATCGGTATTCTGTATAAAAATATTTCTTTGTCCATCTTTCACTGTTGGCCAGTGTTGTGGATGAAGGGCAAAAAGACTCCTAATTCTGCCTGTTAATGAGAGGAAGGTGGAGAATTAATATAATGGGCTATTCCATCATTGGTTTTTCAAGGAATTGATGCATACGGTACCATATTGGGTTGAACATCACACAGATCCTGAAATACCTTTTGAAGTATTTGTTGTTGATGTACACTTGAATTGCTCACATTCAAAGTCGTTTGGGGAAGTAACATTGACATGAGATGAACAGATAGTAAAAAAAAAAACCAAACTATTCTTGCCTGCTTTAAAGCTTTGAAAAGCTGCAATGGCTGTTTTAAGGGCTGCTGACACAAGTAGCAGCACGATTCTACTTCCAGTTCTTTTTACCAGCTGAAAACAAAGAAATTTGGATAGAGCTAGCATCTCCGTTACGATTCACCCCAAACATGGCAAACCTAGCTATGATAAAATAAACATACCTGGAGTCAGCATGCACACAAATGTGTTTTCCTAGGAATGCACACTCAGGAACACACAAACATGATTAGGCATGGATCATGTCTGTTATGCCAGTGATCCCCAACCTTTCTTATGCCGCGGCCCTGTATCCCCAACCTTTTTTATGGCG